GCAATGTGAGTGCATCGGACATTTGTGTTAACACTTGTCCCTTTATCAGGTAAGTGTGAGAAAAGTTCAGGACTGCAATGCCTATAAGCAAATGACTTTTATGAGATTTCAGGTGTAATCTAATACTTCCTATACCTGCAAAAAATTTTGTGCCATCATGTGCACCTCAAAAAACAGCTGCAGTATTTTCACTTGTATTCTCTGCAGGACAAGTTACATAATCATATGTAAGTAGTTCTGTTTGTAAAGCTACGAGTGGGCCATCTGATGTTCACGTTGCTCACTCACTCAGTAGTGACAGAAAGAGAGGTTTGCTTCAAATCTAACATGACACAATCATAATATTACAAACTGCTGGTACAAGAAATTTAATTTGTCAACTAGAGAAACAGATGCTTATTATCTTTTTGTCTGCTGCTTTTTATTTCCTGCACAAAGCTAAAATCATGAACCCAACACCTGCACGCTGAAGGCGGTGTGGTAAGCTAATGAAGATTTATGAACTTGCATTAAATCTTTATTTTTGTACGTCAGCTATAATTCAAAAGTTTTCTCCTGCTGACTCCAAACTGAAAAAAAAAAAACTTCAGGTAAAATGTGTGCACAAGTAGGAACACAGGCCATCTGAATTTACAAGACAGTACGTGAAAGAAGGAAAAAATGCATGGAAGTGCTTACCGATACCAGGAATTACATGTAAAAAATCATCCAGGCCCTTGTCCACAGCAGTGGTGATGATTTTGACCTTTGGGAAGGCATAGGCCACAGAGTGCACCCCGAGCTCTGCCATCAGCAGCGACACCAACATGATCTTATCCTCCTGCACCTCATGATCCTGCTCAGCCACACACATCACAGTGAAACAGTTAGTGGCTTCTTGATCACTTTAAGAAGCTCAGTAAGTGGAAAGGATTCATTTGAGGTTTTCCTTGCAGGAATAATACAACTCAAACTGCACCAGAGAAAAAGAATAACATCTACTCAATGCCCACACAGATGGGTAATAAAACACATGTGACTGCCCAAGAGGAGAGGGTCCCTACTGCTGCCTTACTGCAGGGTAATGATGCTAATTTCCACCCACCAATAGGACTCGAACTGCCATCATGGCAGCAGCGCCGGTGGAGACTGTGCTGTCCATTAGGATGACATGATCTTCACTGATGTCTTTGGGCAGACGCAGGTAATGCAGCTGGTGAGGCCAGAGAGGAGGAGACCAGTTACCATGGTTACAAAAGCAGGAAGGGTAGTTACCACGGAGACACACATCATGTGGAAGGGAAAAAAATTTTAAAAAACAATCAAAACATTTTCATCTTTTGTTTGGCTGCAAAGGTTGAATGAAAGTTTAAACTGAATT